TTATTCTTCATAACTAAACTTTCTTCTTCAGCAGAAACCAACTTTGCCCTTTAGTGACACCATGCAAAAAACATAGTTTTCATTATGGCATGTTAGTTGTTGTGGACCCAGATTAGACTGAACTGATTGTTAAAGATATATTAGATTTTTCCCTCCCTCTCCCTGCCCCGCCCCACCCCACCCCACCTCTAGACATCAGTGGTGGGCAGAGTTAAGGTTATTTGAGTGCCTGAACTATGCACTTCCATACCTTAACATTTTTGTATTTCTTTTAAGTTGAATCTTAAACTCTGAATTTCATGAGTTTATAACTCTTGGATTTGGGATAATTACAACAGTGCTATAATGTATTTTACCCAGATTACTGATATGCACTCTTAACCTTAACTCCATTTTAATGTGTTTTTTTTTTTTTTTTGTGGCTATTATATTGTGGTAACTAGTACTTAATGGCTTAACTGTAGTTATTTTGTGAACCAACTTATGTGAGATACTGAGGACAAAGTCGAGAGTAGCCTCCTCTCTTATACTCTACAACTAGCTGTTCCAAGAAGCAATTGTTTAGAGATGCAGTTTCTTGATATCTTGAACCTTGCTCTGTTGTACCATTTGACCACTTTCTTATTCATAGCTCATTGAATTCAGTGATAAGACTCACATTGACTGCAATGGGCTTTGGTTAAGTACCTATATGAAGGTAGCATTTTCATTTTGATTGCAGCTTTGGAAACTCCCTCCGCTGAAAATAATAAAAAAAGGGAAGGGAGAGTCTTTATTTCCTAGGGCAGGCTCAACTGCTAATAACTCTTCATCTGACCCTCGTTCTATGCTGAAGTTTGTGTGTAAAGACGTTGTGACCAGCAGGGGGTGACTTCTGTTGGAACCTGGGAACACAAGTTAGTCTGTTCTATCCTCTACATTTCCCATGCAAAAATCCCCATTGTACACTTGAGTGTTGTACACACTATGGTGTGGTAGACAACATAAACTCCATGAAAACTATTTAGGGCTGTTTAATCAGTGAATATTTGTGGGCTTGATCCTAGAGCTGACCATACTGAAAAGTGAACTGTCAGGCTGGAGGGAGGTTACTAGAGGAGTTGTTCAGAGATCTTATTTAACATTTTTGTTAAATACTGACTTTGGCACAAAGAGTGGGAGTGTGTTAATAATATTTGCGGCTGACACAAAGTTAGGAGGTATTGCCAATACTTAGGAGGACCGGATTATCAAACAAGAAGATCTGGATGACCTTGTAAACTGGAGTAATAGAAATGGGATGAAATTTAATAGTGCAAAGTGCAAGGTCATGCATTTAGGGACTAACAACAAGAATTTTTGCTATAAACTGGGGATGTATTAGTTGGAAGTGACAGAGGAGGAGAAAGACCTCTGTGTATTGGTTGATCACAGGATGACTATGAGCCACCAATGTGAATCGGCTGTGAAAAAGGTTAATGCAGTCCTAGGATGCATCAGGTGAGGTATTTTCAGTGGACAGGAAAGTGTTAGTACCATTATACAAGGCACTGGAGAGACCTCATCTGGAATACTGTGTGCAATTCTTAAACATGGGAGGTGAGAAAGATGAATTCAAACTGGAACAGGTTCAGAGAAAGGCTACTAGGATGATCCAAGGAATGGAAAACCTACCTTATAAGAGGAGACTCAAAGAACTTGACTTGTTTAGCCTAACCAAAAGAAGGCTAAGGGGAGATATGATTGCTCTCTATAAATACCTCAGAGGGAGAAATACCAGGGAGAGAGAGGAGTTATTTAAGTTAAGTGCCAATATAGATACAAGAACAAATGGATATAAACTGGCTTGAAATTAGGCAAAAGTTTCTAACCATCAGAGGAGTAAAGTTCTGTAACAGTCTTCCAAGGGGAGCAGTGGAAGCGAAAAATCTAACTGGCTTCAAGACTGGGCTTGATAAGTTTATGGAGGGGATGGTATGATGGGAGTCGGACTGCCTACAATGGCATGTAGGCGATCTGTGACTGCTAGCAGCAAATATTTCCAATTGCTGGTGATGAGACACTAGATGGGGAGGGCTGTGAGATAATACAGAGAATTCTTCCCCAGGTGTCTGGCTGGTGGGTCTTGCCCACATGCTCAGAGTCTAACTAACTAATTGTCATATTTTTGGTTGGGAAGGAATTCCCCTCCGGGTCAGCTTGGCAGAGACCCTGTTTTTTTCTCCCCCCTTCCTCTGCCGCATGGGGCATGGGTCATTTGCAGGTTTAAACTAATGCGTATGGCAGATTCTCTGTAACTCAAAGTCTTTATCATGATTTGAGGACTTCAGTAACTCAGCAAGAGGTTATGGGTCTATTACAGGAGTCGGGTTGTGGGGGGTCATGGGGGAGAGGGGGCTGAGGTTCTGTGGCCTGCAATGTGCAGGAGGTCAGACTAGATGATCATGATGGTCCCTTCTGACCTTAAAGTCTATGAATCTATTTGAACTAAGGCCCCTTTACACCATTGTGGCAGTGTAAAGGGGCTTTACGGTGAGTAGCCTTTGCCAGACTTGTGCAAAGGGGTCTTAATGTAAATGAAAATCAGGCTCTTGTCTTTTTTAAAATTCATCGTTTATTGTTATTTGTTGGTATTGTTGCACCTAGGATCCCCAGTCAGGGACCAGGACCCCATTGTGCTAGGTACTGTACAAACAGAACAAAAAGAGAGAGCCTGCCCCAAAGATACGTGTAAATGTAGGGTTCAATTGTAAACCCTAATGAAGAGTGTTTCCATCTGTTATTTCCCTGTCTTACTGCATCTCTTTCTTGCATTTACTCTTTTTAAAAAAATTATAATATTTTTTGTGATCTAGAGGGTTTTTCTTCTTAGAAGACAGCTTCCAGGATATACACTTTCCTAGACAAACAAAACTCTGCTTCAGATTAACACACGCATGAGAGAAAGAAAATTCTACTGAAGGAAAAAGCATACTTGGCTAGGTTCCCCTCCGCATTTTGAGATGTACAGTATTTTGTTATTCTTAGATGGTCTGTTATTGTCTTCCCCTTTTGCGCAATATTCCAGCAACCACGTGTGTGAGTTGCTTGTGCTGTATATTGAACTATATGCTAGTAGTGTGGCAGCATGATCTAGCGCAGGGGCGGGCAAACTTTTTGGTCTGAGGGTTTCGGAAATTGTATGGAGGGCCGGTTAGGGGAGGCTGTGCCCCCGCACCGTATCTGCCCCCTGACGGCCCCCCCCCCGGGACTCCTACTCCATCCAACCCCCCCCCATTCCCTGACGGCCCCCCCAGGACCCTTGCCCCATCCATCCCCACCCCTGCTCCCTGTCCCCTGACCGCTCCCGGAACCCTTGCCCCTGACTGCCCCCCACCGCCCCATCCAACCCCCCCCCCCCTTCCTGACTGCCCTTCCGGGACCCCTGCCCCCATTCAACTCCCTCATACTCCGCCCTCTGACCGCCCCGACCCTATCCACACCCCTGACCACCACCCCGAACTCCCCTGCTCTCTATCCAACCCCCTCTGCGCCCTGCCCCCTTACCGCGCAGCACAGAGCACCAGTAGCTGGCCGTGCTAAAGCAGTGCCACCCAGAGCGTTGCCCAGCAGCCCTGGTGTAGTGTCGTACATTCCTCTCAGTACCTGCTACCAGTAGCACATTCCTATGTGGAGCAGTTTAATACACTACACTGGCAGCATGGTGCGCTGAGGCTGCGGGGGAAGGGGAACAGCGGGGGAGGGGCAGGGGGCGAGCCTCCCGGGCCTGGAGCTCAGGGACCAGGCAGGAGGGTCCAGCGGGCTGGATGTGGCCCGCAGGCCATAGTTTGCCCACCTCTGATCTAGCGGATAGCAGCAGCATGAGCACCAGGAGATCGGAGTTCTGTTCCAGGCTCTACCACTGACCTGCTGTGTGACCTTGAGCAAGTCACTTCATATCTGTTTAGACCAGTGGTCTCCAAAGTGGGGCGCACAAGACCATCCCAGGGGGTGCATGGCTCTGTCTTCGGCAGCGCGCCGGCGGCCGCTCAGCTCTCCCCGCTCTGTCTTCGGCAGCGCGCCGGCGGCCGCTCAGCTCTCCCCGCTCTGTCTTCGGCAGCGCGCCGGCGGCCGCTCAGCTCTCCCCGCTCTGTCTTCGGCGACGGCCGGGGCGCTCAGCTCTCCCCGCTCTGCTTGGGAGGGGCCCCGGGAGGGGGGCCACCCGTGAGGGGCGCGGCCCGGCCCCCTCGGCGAGGCGGCGGCGCTCAGCTCTCCCGCTCTGGCTTGGCGACGGCGGCGGCGCTCAGCTCTCCCCGCTCTGGCTTCGGGGCGGGCCGGCGGCCGCTCAGCTCTCCCCGCTCTGGCTTCGGCGACGGCCGGCGGCCGCTCAGCTCTCCCCGCTGTGTCTTCGGCGACGGGCCGGCGGCCGCTCAGCTCTCCCCGCTCTGGCTTCGGCGACGGGCCGGCGGCCGCTCAGCTCTCCCCGCTCTGGCTTCGGCGACGGGCCGGCGGCCGCTCAGCTCTCCCCGCTCTGGCTTCGGCGACGGGCCGGCGGCCGCTCAGCTCTCCTCCCGCTCTGGCTTCGGCGAGGCCGGCGGCGCTCAGCTCTCCCCGCTCTGTCGTCGCTGGCGGCGACGGCCGGCGGCCGCTCAGCTCTCCCCGCTCTGGCTTCGGCGACGGGCCGGCGGCCGCTCAGCTCTCCCCGCTCTGGCTTCGGCGGCGGGCTCAGCTCTCCCGCTCTGGCTTCGGCGACGGGCCGGCGGGCGCCGCTCAGCTCTCCCGCTCTGGTCGGCGACGGCGGCGGCGCTCAGCTCTCCCCGCTCTGGCTTCGGCGACGGGCCGGCGGCCGCTCAGCTCTCCCCGCTCTGGCTTCGGCGACGGGCCGGCGGCCGCTCAGCTCTCCCCGCTCTGGCTTCGGCGACGGCCGGCGGCCGCTCAGCTCTCCCCGCTCTGTCTTCGGCGACGGGCCGGCGGCCGCTCAGCTCTCCCCGCTCTGTCTTCGGCGACGGGCCGGCGGCCGCTCAGCTCTCCCCGCTCTGTCTTCGGCGACGGCCGGCGGCCGCTCAGCTCTCCCCGCTCTGTCTTCGGCGACGTGCCGGCGGCCGCTCAGCTCTCCCCGCTCTGTCTTCGGCGACGTGCCGGCGGCCGCTCAGCTCTCCCCGCTCTGTCTTCGGCGACGTGCCGGCGGCCGCTCAGCTCTCCCCGCTCTGTCTTCGGCGACGCGCCGGCGGCCGCTCAGCTCTCCCCGCTCTGTCTTCGGCGACGTGCCGGCGGCCGCTCAGCTCTCCCCGCTCTGTCTTCGGCGACGTGCCGGCGGCCGCTCAGCTCTCCCCGCTCTGTCTTCGGCGACGTGCCGGCGGCATCTCTTCTTCTTCTTCTTCTTTTTTGCTTCCCTAGAGCTGGCCCTGGGCGTGCACAATCCAAAAAGTTTGGAGACCCCTGGTTTAGATTATAAGCACTTTGGGGCAAGGACTGTACAGTCCTTAACACAATGGGTCCCTGGTCTTGACTGTGGCTTCTAGATGCTACTGTAATAGAAATAATAACATGGGAGAATATAAAGCTCTATAGATCAACTTGATTTACATTCATAATAATACTTCTCTTCGTACCTAGTTTTTGGTCTTCAGAATGTCGATCAGACGAGCTACTTCAGTAACGTAGCAGTCCCTATGTTAAAATAACGGGCCATGTCCTCAGCTCGTATAAAATCAGCTAATGCTCTATGGAAGCCAAGGGACGTTCACCGACTTACACTAAGGGCATGGTTACACTTGCAGATGTAGAGCACTGTGAGTTAAACCCGCTTTCGTAGAGCGCATTAGGGAAAGCGCTGCAGTCTGTCCACACTGACAGCTGCAAGCACACTGGCGTGGCCACATTTGAGGCACTTGCAGAGGCATTGGGAGTGGTGCATTGTGGGCAGCTATCCCACAGAGCACCTCTTCCCAATCTGGCACTGTGATTGTGGGAAGGGGGCGGGGGGTGCGGGACATTCTGGATCCCGTCCCAACGCCCTGTGATGCACTGATTCACATCCCAGCATTCCCTTTGCTTACGTCCACATTTGGTTCCATCTTTCAATGATTTTTGTACTGCATGCTCTGTCTTCCCTGTCAGTCTGCGGGAATGGAGCCCGAACTGCTGAGGAATATGCTGACAAGTCTCGCCAGCGCGTCACGTTTGGCAGTCGAATTATTCCTTAAGATCCAAAGTGACAGTGAGGACTCCGACGATGATATCGACTCGAGTAACGCAAACAGCACGAGTTTGCTTGTGGCATTCATGGGCATGCTCGCCACCGTGAAACGCCGCTTTTGGGTTTGGGAAACAAGCACTCAGTGGTGGGATCACAACGTCATGCAAGTCTCGGATGAGAGCAGTGGCTGCTGAACTTTCGGATGAGGAAAGCCACTTTCATGGGACTGTGTGAGGAGCTCGTCCCCACCCTTCGGTGTAAGACACGAGATTGAGAACTGCCCTGACTGTGGAGAAGCAGGTGGCTATTGCAATCTGGAAGCTGGCAACTCCAGACAGCTACCGATCGGTCGCTAACCAGTTTGGAGTGGGGAAGTCGACCATTGGAATCGTGTTGATGCTCAGAAGAACTGTGACTCCGGGTAACATGCATGACATTGTGGCTGGCTTTGCACAAATGGGTTTCCCTAACTGCGGAGGGGCGATAGATGGGATGCATATTCCAATTCTGGCACCATCCCATCTAGCCTCCGAGTACGTTAATCAGAAGGGCTATTTCTCTATGGTTTTCCAGGCGCTTGTGGATCACCGTGGGCATTTCATTGACATTAACGCAGGCTGGCCCGGAAAGGTGCATGATGCACTTTCATAACTCTAGCTTATTCAGGAAGCTGCAAGCTGGGACTGTTTTTCCCAGACCAGAAGATCACCATAGGGGAAGTCAAAATCCCCACTGTGATCCTTGGAGATCCCGCTTACCCTTTGATGCTGTGGCTCATGAAACCCTACACAGGAAGCCTTGACAGCAGCAAGGAGCGGTTCAACAACAGGCTGAGCCAGTGCAGAATGACTGTGGAGTGTGCTTTTGGCTGTTTAAAGGGTCACTGGCATTCTCTGTATGGGAAGCTGGGCCTGGCCAATAACAGCATCCCTGCGGTTATATCCATGTGCTGTACCCTCCATAACATTTGTGAAGGAAAAGGTGAAAGAGTCACCCAGGCATGGAACTTGGAGGTTCAACACTGGAGGCTGAATTTGAACAGCAAGAGAGCAGGGCTATTAGAGGGGCCCAGTGTGGGTGTTGGAGGCAGCAGGTGGCGGTAAGAACCCGGATGTTGGGGAAAGTGGTTTGGAGGTGACATGGTGGCACAAAGATGGAAAGAGTTTTGGGACAAGGGCTGCAGGACGGGACGGGCACGGTAGTGCTCTGCCTGCATGGCTATGAGCGCCTGGATCGAGTCTGCTTGGCGCTCCATGATGCTTATCAGCTGCTCTGTGCTTTGGTGCCGGCGATCCGCATTCTGCTGGCAGACCCTCCTTTCACTCTCCCACCACTCCTGCGCTTTTTTATTTTCATTAGTTGAATGCTACATGACTTCATGTAGCGTGTCCTCTTTGCTTCTACGTGGCCTCTTCCTGATTCTTTGCAGCCTCTCGGCCGTTGATAACACGGAGGGCTGAGATCTCAAGATTGCATCTGTAAAGGCAAAATGCAACACTTAACAGTGGCAGCATTGTTCACACCAGACAGAGCAATGATTCCCCCGTACTCAAGGGCAAGCACAGTCTACCCAATAGCATAATTTGCCTGTCCCAAAGCGAGCGCACATAACCCACGGGAGCCCCAAAATGGTGAGTAAGCACAGGGTCAAGCCTGACTGATTGTTTCACGGCTGTGATGGCCTCTGGGTTTCTGTGCTTTGGGGAGAGCCAACAGCAGCAGGCCACTGTACTGAACACTGTCCCCACATTTTCCACAGGAGTTCGTCCTGGAAGATATCTCGCTGCTGAGGGTGACCAGGGAAACAAGGGAGGGTCTTCTACTGCAATGCGGCTTCCGCCCTGGCCCATATGCAGCTTGCCTGTGTGCAGCAATGGTCTCCCTGCCCCTTATGGCACAGTGGCACAGACACGTTAGCCTTACTGGGACGAGGACCACAGTGGCTCTCCCGAAAAACCTGCGCAAGCGCATTGCCCAAGTTCTGGCTGAGACCTTTGAAGAGATCACTGAGGCCGATTACCGTGATGTGAGAGAGCACATCAATGCCCTGTTCCTCATCCAGGCATGCATGCGGCCCCAACCCTCCTCGCCCCAAGAGCCCGCACCGAATAACTTCCTTCCCAAAATAGAAGCCGCTTACCGGGAACCTCCTCTGGTGTTTGTCCTTCCCCAAGCACTGGTTGCCGCGACTGGCTACCTTCCTCCTGGCTTGAGAACAGCTCCTGGCTGCATGCATCTAGGGATGCCGTGGTGTCTTCCTCCGCCGGAGCACCTTCGCTCCTGCTTTGCTGCTGCTCCTCCTCCGCCTCCTGCCTTGTTGCACTAGCCTCTGAGGTGTCCATGGTGGTACTCGGCATGGAGGTGGGGTCGCCCCCAAGTATCGCGTCCAGCTCTTTGTAGAAATGGCAGGTCGCGGGGGCAGCACCGGAACGGCGGTTTGCCTCGCGGGCTTTGCGGTAGGCATTCTGCAGCTCCTTCACTTTAACCCTGCACTGCAGTGCGTCCCGGTCATGGCCCCTTTCCAGCATGGCCCTTGATATCTTCCTGAAGGTATCGTAATTCCTGCGGCTGGAGCGCAGCTGGGACCGGACAGCTTCCTCTCGCCAAACACTGATGAGGTCCAGCACCTCGCCATTGCTCCATACTGGGCATTGCCTGGCGCGTGGAGGCCTGGAAAGATTCTCTGAGAGCACTCCAAGCTTGGCTGAGCAAACAGGAAGGGGATTTTCAAAATTCCCAGAGAATTTAAAGGGCGGGTCTGACGGTTGGTCACCTGAGGGCGGGCAGTAGAGTTCAAAGTGATGACCAGAGTGGCTAGAACAGGCATTGTGGGACACTTCTGGAGGCTGATCAGAGCGCAATAACAGACCAGGGCGTCCACACTGGTGCCGCAGCGCTCCAGCGGGGGTACATCAAACACTGTTCCACTCACCGAGGTGGAGTACCAGCAGTGCTGTAGCCACGGAGACAGAGTGCTCTACGTGCCTTGCCAGTGTGGACGGGTAGTGAGCTAGGGCGCCCGGGGCTCCTTTAGTGCGTTGTAACTCGCAAGCGTAGCCAAGCCCTAAGTGAGCATGTGATTAAATATTTACACATTCGATAAATCATCAGCAGCAGATTTTTCATAGCGCTGGTTAAAATGTCACCTTTACATCCCTTATCAGATCATCATTGAAGTATAGGGCTGGAAGGGACCTCAGGAGGTCCTTAGTCCAGCATCCTGTGCTGAGGCAGGATCAAGTAAACCTAGACCATCCCTGGCAGGTGTTTGACCAACCTGTTCTTAAAAAGCTCCAAAGATGGGGATTCCACAAACTCCTTTTGCAGCCTGTTTAAGAACTAATAGGTATATAGCTTTCCCTAATATCTAACTTAAATCTACTTTGCTGCAGAGTAAGCTCACTAATTCTTGTTCTACCATCAGTGGACATGGAGAACAATTGGTCATCATCCTCTTTATAACAGCCCTTAACATATTGGAAGAAGACTATTATCATGAGCCCCCTTAGTCTTCTTTTCTCAAGACTACACATGCCCAGGTTCTTTTGTAACTTTTCCCCCTAGGTCCTTTTATCATTTTTGTTGGTCTCCTCTCTTCTCTCTCAAATTTGTCCACATCTTTCTTAAAGTGTAGCACCCAGAATTGAATCCAGTGCTCTAGCATCCTCAGTGCCAAGTAGAATGGGACAGTTACCTCCCGTGTCTTACAGACAACATTCCTGTTAATGCACCCCAGACTGATGTTAGCCTTTTTTGCAGCTGCATCATTGTAATCCTAAGTACTCCTGTAGTCACATCTTACACACTACTGCAATGATATTTATCCAAAATACGCCTTGTAAGAAATAATTTAAAAACAAAAAGCACACTGGTCAATAATATCATTGTAAGATGCATGTGTTAACCTTATACGTGAAGTTATGAATTCCCTCTGTATAATGTTGCTAGAATAGGTTCAAGAAGATAGCCTAGCCTAGTTAGAGGTGAGAAACAGGTCTGTCCTGGACAAAGGAATATGGTTTATGTTAATTTACATATTAGCTGTAAACAAAGCTATCAAGCAACCTAGCAGAGCTTGAGCCTGAATTCAAGAGACAGAGAATTAACATGGCTCCTGTGCCTTGGAGAGACACTGGAGACTGAATCCTCAGGAGGCCTTCCTAACTTTGAGAACAAAGGCCATATCTATCTGCTGCAGCGTGTCTGGTGAAGACGCTCTCTCCTGTTGGCATAACACCCCCCCTCTCCCCCCAGTGCGGCAGAATCTATGCTTCTCCCGCCAACATAGTGTGTACGTATGTGTAACTTATGTCACTCAGGGGGATGGTTTATTCCCTCTTTTTGTAGAATTCCTTTGGGATGTTCAGGTAGTTAAGGAACTCCTGATGGAGCCATATTGGCCTCTTACTTTTCTTCGTATCTTTCATTTGCATTAGAAAAATTGGCAGATGTGCATTCAGTTTGTCTCCTTGAGACACTGCCAGCTCTCCTGAACTCCTTTATCCTTTAGATTTTCTTCTCATGGGATCTTAGTTCTGAGTTAAACCCTTTTAAAAGTTATTATGCATCTGGCTCAATGATAAATATGCATGGTGATTAACAGACAAATAAGAGACCAGGAGTCAAATTCTTCACTACCTTATGCCTTGTGTGGTCACTTACACCAGTGTAAAGTAAGTGCAAAATGTGTGTAACACGCTACAAATCAGAATGTTAGCACTTTGCATTAGTGTAAAATACTACTCAAGGTGCAAGATGACAATGAATTGGACACCTCGGGCCAGATCCTTAATTGGTATAAATCTGAATTCAGTGGAGATACACTGACTTACACCAGCTGAGGATTTGGCTCCTGGCTTCAATTTAAGGGCCTGATTTTCCGCAGAGTTATGTTGATGGGTGTACTGACTCCTGTTTGGAGTCCCATTGGCTACTGGTGAGTCAATGCAAGCATGCTACAATGGTGGTAAAAGTTCTCACTCCGAAGAAGTCTTTCCCCACTGACTGCTGCCCAACTCTATATTTGCAAAGATCTCACTGGCCCTTCCCAGCCTCCTCTTCCTTGTTCAATCAGCCCCAAAAGAACTGGAGCAATTAGCAGATCACATTGACTAGTCAAGAAGGAAAATCTGTTATTTTTAAATCCAGTAAGTGCAAGAAAAAACAGCATGAGGTCTTCAGGTATTAGATCACTTCTATAGACCTACTTAAATGCATGGTGTTCTTCTAGTGAATGAGTGAAGACATCAATGCAATTGCAGTACAAGGTAACCACAGGTCCCTGCTTTCAGGGAATAAATAGTGGGAGGGTGTGTTTGCATATACAAGTTGTACTGATTTAAATCTACTGGATAGTTAAAGTGAAACAACCCCGTAGCGTGGATGCAGTTGTACCAGTATAACTTATTCTTGTCCAAGCATGAGAATAAGCTATTCTGGTATAAGGCATCTTTATACTGGTGTAATTGCATCCACATTGTAGATTATACTGGTGTAACTATATTAGTAAAAAAGAAAAACATTCTCCTAACTAACGTAGTTCTACAGGTACAATTGTCAAGTACAGACCAGGCCTCACTTAGGGTTTGTTGGTACACAAATTTGCACCAAGGTTTTTAAAATTGATTTAGTTAAACCACTGCAAATGACTATGTGGACACTTTAAAATCATTATAAACCTCATTTACATATAATCAATTAGGACTAGATTTAAACTAAACTGAAATCAGAGAGTCTATACATGGTTTTGCACTAGTTTAACTCAATCAGTTTAAAAGCTGATTTAGGTTAAATCAGTCCAACTTCTATGTGTTGACAAGGCCTGAGATCCAGTTGGAAAACAGGGGAGAATTGTTAATGTAAAAAAAATTTTGTTTGGAGGAAATTTCAAAGGTTTCTCATTAGCTGTGGTCTGACTGTTTATCTTTTCAGGAGATGACACTTCTCCTGCTGGGAATTCAAAAGGAGGAGAACTGGATTCTCTTTGGGGTGTGTGTGTGTGAGAGAGAGAGAGAGAGAGAGAGAGTTAAAAGAACAGCTGCAGTTTATTTGTCAGAGACATGAGGTTTTGCTTTCCTCACAGATGAGGAATACCAGATGGATCTTATAGTGGAGTTCTCCTGTTAAATGAGGACAGAGTAATCTAGTCAGGGGAGGTGACCGGTCTTGGTACGCCTGGAATGCTGGTGGGAAGAGCCCTCTGCGTGGAGGCTGCACAACTCCATCTGCTTTTATTTATTTATTCCTTTCATATTCAGTTTTTGTTGTTGTTGTCTTTGTCTGGACGGCCCTCTAGGCGTTTTGAGCATGGGCGGTGCCCCTTCCTCTTCATGCTGAGATGATTCTCTCCCTCCAACTGGGAGTGTAGAATGCTCCTTCTTGCACTTTGCGTATTGCAGCCTGCAGTGTTGAGTAACACCAGGGGTTGGTATGTCACCCATTCCCCAGGACACCAGCCACATTGCCACTGACACCCATTGAGTCTGGGGAGGGAGCCAAGTCCCAGACTCACGTCCTGCTTGGCACTGCAATTTGGTGCTACCACGCCTTCAGTATGGCTCCAGTTTGCTGCTGGATTTGTTTGTTTGCATTTTATCTTTATTTGCCTACCCCAAAGAAGACAAGTCACTTGAGGAAACTGTTGAGTTTCTCCTGCTCCATTGTCACTGATTTGCTTGGGACTCTTTCCATTAACTTCAGTGGGAGTTGGATCTAGATCTCAGACCATTAAGACCATAGTCAGTACACTCCCAGTAACTATCTGCAGCAATCTACTCAATGTAGTACAGGGACAAGGGGGAAGGATTGTGGTGTGGTAAGTGTGATACAGGCAGGCCAGGTGCCACCTCATGCCAAGGCCCCAAGGTCTCACTGAACGCTGACAAATGCATAGCGGGAAACCCGGGTGGCTCAACCTATGTGTTAGCTTTGTTAAGTTGATAAGAATGTGTTTAGTGTTTAGACTTGATAAAATGTTTGTAGGATGCTGCATGTATTGATCTCACTTATAACATCTGTAGCCCATGGTCTAAAATTATACTGAGCGTTTGCATGGTAAACCTCTGTAATTGTGTAACTCACCAAACAGGAAAGAAGCATTAATTTGTGTAAAATGCTTGTCCTGCACACAAGAAGGCCCACTGAAACCCAATGAGCCATTGTGAAACGTCAAAGGACCAAGACTTTGTAGATTGCCCCCCACCCCCACCCCCAATGAAGAGGTGATGGGCACTGACGCTTTGGGGGAAGGGAATAAAAATGCCTGACCCAAAGGAACTGCTGCTTGGAATTTGGAGAGGCCAATATTTCTAAGCATAAGCAAGGGATCCCCAAGGTGCTTAGTTTGGGTGAGCCCTAAAGGGCGTATAGAGCTTGTATATAGAACAGCTACTATCACGTTTCGGAATCTAAGACTATAACTTATTTGTGTGTGTATGTTTACCTGCTTTAACTTTGTAAATAACTCTCATTTCTTTTTCCTAGTTAATAAACCTTTAGTTAGTGTGTTACAAGAGTGGCTACAAGTGTTGTCTTTGGTGAGAGATCTAAGGTACAATTGACCTGGGGTAAGTAACTGGTCCTTTGAGACTGGGAATAATCGGAATATTGTTGTGATTTTTGCTGTAAGGGACCATCTATCACAAAGTCAGGTTTGCCTGGGTGCAAGATAGACTGGAGTACTGAAGGGGACTGTCTGTGACTCCGTGTTAAGACTGCTGTAGTGCTTGAGGAGTTCACACTTGGTACTTGGTTGATGAAATCTAATAATAGAACACACAACCAGTTTGGGGTTTGTGTCCTGGTTTGTAACAGTTTCCCCTGAGGTTAGCACCCACATTCATGAGCCACTCTAGACAGCTTCACAGTAAGATCACAAACCCAAGAGCCAGAAAACCTGTGTTTGATTCCCAGCTATAACACAGGCTTGTTCTGTGACCTTGCGCTAGTCATGTAATCCCTCAGTGTCTCCCACATTGCCGGACAAAACAGTAACATTGAGGTTTTCTGAAGTGGCTGGTGATTTGTCTGGATGCCTCAATATTTGGGTGCCCGACTTGAGACACCTGAAAGGGGCCAGGTTTCAAGAGAGTGGGTGCCCATCACTTTCTGAAAAACGGGCCCCTTTAAGGTGTCTCAGGTTGGGCACACAAAATCACTAGTCACTTCGAAAAGCTTGGCCTGGGTGTGTGTTCTTATGTGCATACACTGAACAAAACCCCATATTGTGAAGATAGACAGGAAGACAATTCGGGGGGTGGGGTGGGCAGGGGAGGCAATAGACCAGGTCCCAGTATCCACCAAATCCACCCCCATTGCTGAGAGACAGAGAGGAGGACACAATAAAGAGTTTCAAATTGATTTTCACATGTGGCTTACCTTCAGTGGTGTGAGCTCATTAGGTGTCACAGTGGATGTAGGCATGTCACCCAGTAAGCAATTTAGAAACGGACCTTCATTTTTATGGAGTCTGCTGGCTTTTTGACAAGTGTCTGCAATGCTGAGATTGTGGGCTTCTCTGTGAACTGGAATGTTTAGCACAACTGTGGCATGGCCACCTGCCCACAGACCTGTAGTACAGATTTACTAGAGAGCCTAATCCTGCAAATCCTGTCAGGCACAGTGCTTGCATAGTGCTCAGTTAGGCTACTCAGGTAGTGTGACCCTAAGAACCTCTCAGTGTTCACTAGCAGTGGGCCCACTATACAGTGGTTCATATCAGGCCTGACACAGTCACTATCCCCAACACCCTGTTGTCATAACATGTATCAAAAAGGTGTTTGTGTAAGGTGTCAGATGTAAAGTGGTGACAACCTGCTTCTGAAAATTCATTGCCTGATTGTCTGGGTTGTGTATAAAGAATTATGTATTTGTGCTGGAAAAATATGGGCTTTAAATGTGTCTTGGAGGCAGTCCAGAAATCAAACCTGCCCTAGACACAGGAATGTGGATTCCCCTGTCTGACTGGCTTGATTACAGGCAATGACAGTGAAAGTCCATTTACATATACATTAAACAATCAAGCTAATAAGTGGGAGGAGGAAACGGTTTAGTAAGCACACCGGGGGACAGAGTCTGCACTCCCAGGGAGGCTTCCTGGAAGCATAGACAAAGGACTTCGGGTAATATAAGGAGAGCAACAACACATTTTAGTTCTCCTTTACTTCAGAGACAAAAGAAGCCAGAGTTTTTGGAATCTGTGAAAGGTGGATCCTTCAGCCAGGTAGGTTGAAGTCTCTGGAAACTGACTATAGGTAGGGCCCTACCAAAGTTTCGGCCATGGAAAACATGTAATGGATCGTGAAATCTGGTCTTTTGTGTGTTTTTACTCTACACTATACAGATTTTATGGAGGAGGCAAGCATTTCTTAAATTGGGGGTCTTGACCCAAAAGGAATTTGCGGGGGAGGGAGGGGGGTGTCAAAAGGTTAGTTTAGGAGCGTCGTGGTATTGCCATCCTTACTTCTGCGCTGCCTTCAGAGCTGGGTGGTCGGAGAGCAGTGGCTGTTGGCCTGGCGCCCAGCTCTGAAGGCAGCGCCCTGCCAGCAGGAGTGCAGAAGTAAGGGTGGCAATACCAGACCATAGCATGCCACCCTTACTTCTGCGCTGCTGCATTCAGAGCTGCATGGTCAGAGAGTGGTAGCCGGTGACTGAGGGCCCAGTTCTGCAGGCAGCAGCTCAGAAGTAAGGGTGGCAATACCATACCAGGCCATCCTTACTTCTGTGCTGCTGCTGGCGGTGGCTCTGCCTTCAGAGCTGGGCTCCCGGCCTGCAGCTGCCGCTCTCCAGCTGCCCAGCTCTGAAGGCAGCGCCACCATCAGCAGGAGTGCAGAAGTAAGGGTAGAAGTACTGCAATCCCCCCCTACAATAACCTTGCGATCTCCCCTCCCCCCCCTCTCGCCCGCACACACAACTCCTTTTTGGGTCAGGATCCCTACAATTACAACACTGTGAAATTTCAGATTTAAATAGCTGAAATCATGAAATTTATTATTTTTAAAATCCTATGACCATGAAATTGACCAAAATGGACCATGAATTTGGTAGGGCCCTAACTATAGGTGAGAAATCACCTGAGAGCAAGATTATAATCTGTTAAACTTTAGCCGCTAGAAAGCATGTTTTATTTTGTTTTCTTTGTAACCATATCAGTCTCCTTTTCTCTTGCTTAGTATCACTTAAATCTCTGTTCTTTATTAATAAACTTATTCTTGGTTTAGTACAAAACCATCTCAGTACTGTATATTAATGTGAAGTGTGATTTCAGCTAACCTGACAAGCTAGTGGGTACAGTGTCTCTTTGGAGGCAGTGAATTTGATAATTTCTGAGAGTGTCACAGTGAGATCTTAAAGTGCTACCCTATACACCGTTTCTCTTATCAGTGATGAGGAGTCAGTCTAAGGATGAGGATGCATGCACACACAGCCAGAAGCATAATTGATCCATGTAGCAGACCCTGTGTCTAATCAAGGTCCCACATGCCCACTTGCAAGGTCCCACATGCCCACTCCTGTCACAGTGCACAGATAATGTCTTCCACTGGTATTTTTGCTGATCAACAGATGTCTATGTTGTCAGCAGTTGTTCCATGAAAAGTGGCCATAGTTTGTCACCCTCCCTGTTGCGCGTGTCCTCTTTTGGTGCCACCCAGAGACACCTCTCAGACATGGAGTATATTCTGATGAACACGTGTTTCCATGTTTTGTTTTGGGGTGAAATTCTTCCTTGCACTGGATACTGAAAACTTGGTTGGAATACACATTCTTGGCTTCATAATGGCGACCACCATATTTGCTTTTGTTTGCAGTATTGCAAAGGACTTTCATCACTGTTATCCAAAATTAGCAGTTCACTCAATACAGTGTGTCTATCTTGTCAGGCAGATAATAGACTTGTTCTGGAGACGGAGCAAAAGAGTTGCAGCCTGTTTCATAACCACCAGATCCGATTGTTGAGCTTTAAAGTAATCTGATTAACTCAGTAATTTGAAGTATTTTGGTGCAGTCTTTTTGTTGGTCTTTTCTATTGCTCTTAGGGATGGAAATCTTGCGCAAACCCATCTCTTGTTTGGCAAACAATTTATGCATAAACTGTCTCCTTCCAGCAGCTCAGTTGTGAGGCATCATCTGAGACCAGCCTGGGTACCATATTGCTGTTGAATCATGGATCTCACGTGGTGGGAAGATAGTAATGCTCACATCACAGCATCTTGGAGAAGAATATTGACAGATGGTCTTTCCTATCACACCTTTATTCTGGCTTCAACACTGTTGTCTTTGTCACGCCAACCTTTGAGTCGACAGATGTATTTGTGGGATGGTTTGGCTGATGGTGTCCGTCTGTATGTTGAGAGCATATGTGTGGTTTTAGCACATTTGTTATTATTCTTTAGTTGTTATTTGTATTACTGTGACACCAAAGAGCCCTGCTCATGGACCAAGATCCCACTGTACGAGGCACTGTACAAATGCAGACTAACGACTAAAAAGGTGGCCCCTGTTGCAAGAAGCTTTCAATTTAAGTCCAAGATGAGAGACAACAGGTGGATACACATAACTGGGGGAGTCCAAGGAAACAATGAGACAATATTGCTCAGCATGATGGGCTGTAATCCCAGATCATGGATAAGGAGGTAGCTTTGTGAATGTTTACAGGGAGCACCTCCCAAGCATGTGGGGCAGCATGGGAGGAAGCACTGAGGTGTTTATATGAAAATGTAAGAAGTGGGCAATGGAGGCTGGCATTGTGGGCCAGTCATGGGGGAGTGTCGACAGCTCAACAGAGAATGAGAGATGAATAGGGATGGTGGGTGGGGAGTAGGCCATGAAGGGCCTTGAAAGTGAAGACAAGCAGCTTACGTGTGATGTGACTGAGAAGGGAGAACCCATGGAGGGATACAAAGCGACAGCTAGTCCATGATGTCCACGTCATCATTTACCCTTTTGCAGATGTCCATGTGAATTCTTTGCTTGATGACGGACCTTACAGCTGGGCTGCACGGTCATTCTTCAGGTGACATAGTGCACATGGATGAAGATGGATATTCCTCAGTGCTGCACGGCACAGATGCTTGCATAGCTCTTTCTTTGGTTCTATGTATTCTGCGCTACCTGGGGCTATTCCTGTTTTCCATGGCTGTGATTTTTCTGAAAGGCCTGGCTGGGGTTCCTGGGCAGATTTTCATGTGAATGAAATACTGGCTTAAAAGTGACAGTATAAGTCCATTTACAAGCAGCAATGCAGTGTATAAAGTGCACCGGGTCAGGAGAAGGGGCCCTATTACAGTGTGGAACACAGTATATAAATGGTACAATGGCAGCCCCTTATTACAGTGTGGAACTGTGGAACTCAATAACTAATAGTGGAGTAAAAAGCCTCTCTGTAGCACAGTGTATATAAACGGTGGAGGAGTGAGTCTCTCTTACAGTCTGGAATGCAGTGCATAAACAGTGGACACACAGATTTAGTGGCGAGCCCCTATGAACTGTTTAGTGGAAAGTGCTTATAAATGGTAGACACTTGGGGTCAGGGTAAGGCCCCTATTCCAATCAGGCATGCAATGTATGC